ATATGCAACTGTCTACAAGGTGCGCATCTGCTAGGCCGAAATCGCCCAAGTTGCATCACTGACCCGGGCGTAGGGGAGGTCGCGGACAACGAACGAGATCGTCGCCCTCAAGGAGATTCACCTCGATGCGGAAGAGGGCACACCATCCACCGCCATCCGCGAAATCTCGCTGATGAAGGAACTCAAGCACGTCAACATCGTCCGCCTCTACGACGTCATACACACAGAAACTAAACTCACCCTCATCTTCGAATACGCCGACCAGGACTTGAAGAAATACATGGACCAGCACGGCGACAGAGGCGCGCTCGACCCGAACACGGTTCGTAGCTTTATGTTCCAGTTACTCAAGGGAACAGCGTTTTGCCACGAAAACCAAGTCCTGCATCGAGATCTGAAACCGCAGAATCTGCTCATCAATCGGAAAGGGGAGCTGAAGTTGGGCGATTTCGGTTTGGCGAGGGCTTTTGGCGTACCCGTTAATACTTTCTCCAATGAAGTGAGTGACTCAACATCGTCGAATCTACCGCGGGCCGCCGCCGTTTACTCACCACATATACACCAGGTCGTCACCCTTTGGTACCGCGCCCCCGACGTGCTCCTTGGTTCCCGCACTTACAGTACTTCTATTGATGTGTGGTCCTGTGGCTGTATTTTCGCCGAGATGATCTCTGGGACACCTCTCTTCCGAGGCAGAGATAACCAAGATCAACTTCTCCATATCATGAGGGTTATCGGCACGCCAAGCGAAGCCACTCTACGAAAGATCGCGCAAGACTCTGTAAGTCGACTCCCTTCTCCCCGCTCAGACCGTAGTTAATCGTGCCCAAAAGCCCGAGGTTACATTGAAACAATTCCCTCGATACCCCAAGATGCCTTTCCAGCAAATCCTTCCCAAGGCCTCACCACAAGGTCATTTGAACCGCCTCATACCTTGAATTGTTCTGATAAATAATGTTAGCCATTGATCTTCTGGAGCGTCTGCTCAAATTCGATCCCGCTGAGCGTATTAGCGCTTCAGAGGCCCTTTCGCATCCCTACTTCACCTCCACTACCAGCCAAATCCCTTACAGCCTCAACACTGCCCCGGGTGCCATGGCCCCTCCCAGCTTCAACTACGTCCACCCCCACCCCCAGCAGCAACAGCAACATCAACAGCCGCAACACATACACCAGCAGCCGCAACAAATCCCTCAGCAGATCCCTCAGCACCAACAACAACGAGCGGCCGCCATCCCAGTCACCACCATATACCCCCAACAAGCCCAGATGCAAGCCCAGATGCAAAATGCGCAAGCGACCCAACAACAGGCTGCGCTAGCCCATGCGCAACAGATGCAGGCGCAGGCGCAGCAGCAACAAGCCTATCAAGCCTACCCGCCACAATATGCTCACCCCGGTCGGTAGTGTATTGTCGTACGCCCAGGCTATCGGATAAAGGACTCTTTTGTTCAGAAATGGTACATATTTTTGCCAGTTTATAGTGTATTTTGGTCCAGAAACGATGCCAGTAGTACCTCTTGTGAATGTACTTCATGTAATCTTTACAGGCTACGGTCCTGCAATTGTAATCCGCTTCATTGAGCGACTCCGAATGTTCGTGGTTACCAGTCCTAGGCTTGCCCAGTGGCTGAAGGCAGGCAGGCTGACGAATGCACTTCAAGGAAGAGAGCTCGTAGCGACATATAGAGATCGCACACTGCACATATAAGGCCAGGTTTAAAACAAGAGTGGACATTGAGAAGGCTATAACTATATGTAAAAGCTAGAACTATTAAATCAGACATCGCTAATTGCGCAAAAAAACAAGAAACACAACAAAACCAGAGACCAGCCACCTCCGATATACAGCAGCTCCAGCTCCAGTCCTTCGAAGATCGAAGCAAGAAAAGATAGATAGTCAAGATAGTGGATGTACTTTTGCGTCATCGGAACAGATCAAGAGGATCAGGGTCGTCGATAATCAACTTCGCGGCCTCGAGAAGGTGGGTAGTCTCGCGAGCCAGTGCGCGGAGGGGCCCCATAGCCGGCAGCATATGGATCTCGAGGAGGGCCAGATGGATATGGAGGTTCGTACGCTCCGCGAGAAGGGGGGCTCTCCGAGCGGCGTCTACGAGAAGGGGATCAGAGTCTATCATTGGTCAGGGCTTGGAGTCATCTCACCTATACCGAGTGCTGACCTCCACGCTACCAGTCCTTGCGTAGTCAGGAGGGTAACGCGGAGGTGGAGGAGTGATTGGTCGGCCACGATACTCAGGATAGTCCCTAGAAGATTGATGTAACTAATGACGTCTTCGCTCCAAAGGGAAATGCACATACCTTGGAGGAGGGGGTCGATCATAATCATCCCGAGCATGGCGAGGAGGGGTACGCGGGCGTCCTACTGGAGTGAGGGGAGGAGCAGGAGGCCCTGCGTAGCGATCCATAGATCTTCGTTCATATCGGTCATAAGGATAGGACGCTGGAGGAGCAGCATAGCCACGGTAACTGTCAGTCGGAGGAGGATATCGGCTGCCACGATAGTCAGAAGGGGGAGGGGGAGGATATCTATCGCGATCATGTACAGGAGGAGCACGTCGATAGTCATCGTAGTCCCTACCGCGGCTAGACGGGGGAGGTGGTGGATAGTCTCTATAGTCCCTGGCAGGTGACACTGGCCTACGGTAGTCCCTCGTAGAAGGAGGATAGTCATAGTACCTAGAATCCCTTGGAGGAGGCGGAAGTCGTCCAGACGGTCCGTAGTCATCACGATACGAGGGATGGTCTCTAGGAGGAGGGTAGTCTCTTTGAATCCGGTCAATAAGAGGAGGCTCAGAACGACGGCTATGAGAGTCTCTGGGATCCCTGGGTGCCATGCGTAAGCATGAAGAACGTAGGGAGAGTTGAAAATCGTTGACTTACGGAGGCGGTGCGTTGGGGCACTCCCTGTGACTGAATGGTCAGACCTGAATGAAGATCACATAAACGAGTATGTTACCTTGCCCAGTGGCCGTTATCACCGCAACGGAAGCACGTTCCAGCTTCAGCGGTCGTACGCGTAGCCCTACCACCATGGGATATTTCGACACGAATTTTGTTACCCATGAAGTAGCCTTCGTTGTACTTCGCAACACTTTCTTCTGCGGCTTCAGTACTATCGAACTCCTACGAAATTGATGTGAACAATCATATATTGTTGAGTATGGACACTTACAACGAAGCCATAACCAATTCTATGATCAGCATATAAGCTAAGTATTTTTGATGAGAAATCTGGCGACTAACTTTAGTTCAATTTGGACTATTGTCCCTATCTTTCCAAAGCAAGAACGCAGATCCTCGATTCGGGTGTTCGTGGGTAGGCCACCAATGTAGACCTTGTTGGGCTGTAGCGAAACGATGAACACCTCGAAAACATGGAAAGCAGACATTAAATAGTAGAGAAGTATCAGAGAAATATCAAGCCGTTGTGTCAACTGAAGAGATCGCCGTCCAGACCAGCACGGGGGATAACAAAAGGTCGAGGGAAACTTCGCAAGACCCCCTACAAGTGAAAGCTGCGACGACTTCAGGCATCGGTCGAAAACGCGCTTCTCTGCTTGCGCTGGGAGCGAGGACGTCCCGGCTCGACGCATAGAACTATATAGACGACCTCGCATAGGCATAGCGACTTGGACGAGACAAGAACAAGGATAGGAAACAATAAGAAGACCGAGTAAGCACCTTGGCCTGTCTGTCGCGAAAAGAGTCGCCTTTGCCGGCACCATTGGAGTCAGCAACGCTACCACCTCGGGTATTGGGCTCTTTAGACTCTGGCTCCTGGACAGTCGGAGAGGGAGATGCGGTAGTCGGTGGGCGTTCGTTGTCAGCAGCCCGAGCATCAGCACTAGACCCATTCAACGCAGAGTCGGCAGAGATCTTGAAGTTTGGGGTTGTGTCGACAGCCAAAGGTTCCTGTTTGACGGATGGTGGCGATCCTGGCGCCCGAATAGCGAGCGTTGGAGAAGCAGCCATGGTGGTGGTGAGGGTTCGAGCAGAAGGATGAAGTTTCCAACAGGGGTCGGCGCAAGCGGAAATTTGCAGCATGCCACTCCGACCAACTCCGACCGAACTTCAGTTGCTGAGAACGTACTGCGTTGGGAGAAGTGCTGGCAATTATCTTATTCTACTATCAATATACCTATCTGTTTACTGAATTACAACGACTAAACATTGCGTGGCGCACGATGCCACGGTCCTGCGACGTTGGCCTCTGCTTCCAGGTTGGCGATCTCCCGAATGATCTCTTCATCCTGGTTGACATCTAGTGGTAGCATGTCCCGCTGATACACTGTTCCAAACATCTTCACCAACGCAGGGATTTCACCCTCCACCGTCACTTCCTTCCCTTTTGCACTTTCGATGCTACCAGCCTTCACATCTGTGAGCCCGCATGCCACGACTTGGTTGAACCATGCCAAGGGCTCATTGGTCACATTGAACGCGAATCCATGATTCGTCAATCGATGCCGGACTTGCACGCCAATACTCGCGATCTTGGTATGCGCGTCGAGGAACACCCCCGTGTGGTCTGATGGCACATGCCGTACGCCGTGGCTCTCCAGGAAGTGACGTTCCATTGTTTTCTGCATGCGGCAGATGTAGTCGCGAATGCCCATCGCTGGCGAGTAGCGCGAGAGATCGAGAAGGGGGTAACCAACTATTTGGCCTGGTCCATGGTACGTTGTCTCCCCTCCGCGCTGGATCAACTGGAAATCAGCCCCGAGTTGAGTGAGACGAGCTCGGTCCGCCGCTGTTTGCTCGGATGTCTGCCGTCTTCCCCCGGTATATACTGGACGGTGTTCAAGGAGGAGTAGGATGTCTTTGTGCGACGGAGGTGAGTTTTTGCGATTGCGAAGCTGGATGATATGGAGACGCTCCTGCAACGCGAGTGTCTGGGCATACGGCAGGGGTTTGCGGAAGAAGTGGTAGAAGATGGGAGGAAGAGACATGTCGACGGTAAGGAGAAAAAAATTCCTAATAGCCCACCGCGAGGGTCGAACTCGCAGCCTTCAGATGATCCCGCCTAATGTAAGAGTCTGACGCTCTATCCGATTGAGCTAGGCGGGCTTGCGGGCGAGGAATGCTTCATCCATTCTGAATGTTTTGTGAGCGCTAAAATAGTTCGGCCTGGTTACCCCTTTTTTCTCACGGCCGACCTGGGCGATGGCTGGGCAGCGGTGCCCTATTTCTTTCTTTCCTAACTCTCAACTATCTCCCACTCCTTTCACTTTAATCCTCTTCTTCCTCTAATTCAGCATTCATCATGCTGGGTTCTTTCCGGGCTTTTACTGCCCTTGCCACAGTCGCATCTATCCTTGTCTCTCGCGTCGATGCGATAGCAAAAATCTCCCGCTCGGGCAGGTATCTCTACCAGGACGATGGAACGAGATTCTATATCAAGGGCGTAGCCTACCAGGAGCAGGGTATGTTTTGTTTTCTAGCCCAATTTGTGGCATCTAACTTCATGGGCGCAGGTGCTGTTGTTGAGAGCGCTGACAATGCATTCGGAGAGCCGTCGACCTTCATCGACCCATTGGCTCTGCCGGATGCCTGTAGGCGTGACTTGCCCTTCCTACAACAATTGGGCGTCAACACCGTCCGGGTCTACAGCGTAAACTCGACGCTCAACCATGACGAATGCATGCAGACCTTCAGTGCTGCTGGCATCTACACCATGTACGTTGCTTCTTCTCTGACGATGTTTGCCACCTCATGCCGCCCTTTAGCATCGACTTGGCACTCCCTCTCAACGGCTCTATCGACCGCGTGTCTCCTTCATGGTCTACGAACATCCTGGATCAGTACATCAGAACCATTGATACCTTCTCCAAGTACGACAACGTCTTGGCTTTCAACGTCGGAAACGAGGTCGTTGTCCAAGAAGCAACCGGTGTTTCCCCCTACGTCAAGGCCGCTGCTCGTGACATCAGGGCTTACCTGTAAGTACCACTGAACGCATCGTGGTAGCATAGCCTCCATACTTATGTCATCCGCAGCTCGTCCAAGTCTTCCTCGGCACTTGTTGGCTATGCGGCTATTAATGGCGCCTCGACATGGCGCGATGCGCTAGCCAGTTACCTCACCTGTGATGCATCCGGTGGCAACTCTGATGCTACCGCCATCGATCTTTACGGCTTGAACGACTACGAATGGTGTGGCGACTCTTCTTTCGAAAGCTCGTACGCCGGTACAACCAGGAACTTTGCCAACTTCAATGTCGCTGCTTATTTCAGCGAGTTCGGTTGCATCACTTCGCCCCCACGTCTCTGGACCGAAACCCAGGCCATCTTCAGTTCCCAGATGTCGGATGTTTGGTCCGGTGGTGTCGCTTTCTCATACTTCCCAGCTTCCAGTGTTCAAGGCCAATTCGGTATGGTCACAGTCGACGGAAATACTGTTACCACGAGCGATGATTTCGACCGCTTGAGGACTCAATACAATCAAGCCAGCGGGCCCAACTCCCCGGCTCGCAGCAGTGCCTCCACGACTTTCGGCTCTTGCCCTGCTGAGAGCGATACTTTCGCCGCTTCAACCACGATCCCGCCAACCCCAAATGAGGCTGCTTGCGGTTGCTTGCAAAGTACTCTCAGCTGCCGTTTCACTCCCCAGACGTCCAACTACAGCGCTATCGCTGGCGAACTCATTGGTACGGCCTGTAGTCTCCTTGGTCAACAAGGAGGTAACTGTAACGACATCGGTGGAAATGGCACGACGGGTACTTACGGCCGTCTCTCTGGTTGCGACCCTAGTAAGACCACCAACCCCTTTCCGCTCACCATTACCCCTTGCTGATTTTTTTTGTTAATCAGCCGTCAAACTTTCCTTCGTGATGAGCCAATTCTATGAAATCAACAACCGCAACCCACAGTCGTGTAGTTTCAGCGGTAACGCTACTATTAACAGCGCTGCTCCGTCATCAGCGTCCGCTGCCAACGCCGCTGCCTCCTCGTGTATCTCAAACCCTTCGGCCACATTCACGCCGAGTGCCCCCGCTACAACAGGAGGCTCGGGTGGAAGCTCTGGAGGAGGAAGCAGCAGCAACGGTGGCTCGAGCGGCGGCAACAACAACTCCAACGGCGCCGTTCCTTTGATCGCTGATGCCCGGGCACTTCTGGGCCTGGGATCTATGGCTGCCGTTGGTTTGGCCAGCGCCTTCTGGGTCCTGGTCTAATCCCTCCATCGACATCCGAGCACACTACAGACTATATCTATCGCCGCTGCTATCCCGGGCTATTGCATAAAATTGGACTATCTCTGTATGTACGAAGGAAGTGGAGTGGGTTTGTTCGCAGCGAATGAAATCGGACACTAGTCAGTGCAGCTATTTCTATTCGTTGTTCCGTTCCGTGGGGAGCTTGGAGCTCAAGAATCAGACATCTACGTTAAATATATATACCACCACCCTATTCATTTCAATCTTATCCACGCTCCTACATACTCTATGCAGTACCATTTCTGATGATACTACGTATTTTGTTTAGGTTATGCAGGACAAGTTCATTTACGATAACGCTCATTATTTAAAGTGTCCATGTTCACACTGCTCTTAGTTTTGTGATGCAAAGATGAAGGTGATGAACATCCATCACCCATGGTGTGGGTGGAATAGGGCTGGGTTATACTTTGCCGGAGATGGTACCTCCCTGATGGGACGCGACTTGTACGTTGAACGTTATTTGTAGTTTGGGAACATGTCTCCAAGAGAAAGCTGTGTGTAAAACAGAAGGAGTTTAAACTGCAGCTGGGACGATGGTGTGAAGTGCTGGTTGGACCTCCTAAACCCCTGATGCAGATGGTTCATCAGAAGCGCACAGAACGCAGAACATCGTTCAGAGATCAGAATAGGCATAGAAATCAGCCATGGCTGGAATAAAAGGGTAAATTGCCTCAATATACATTAGTTATGATATCGATGGTGCCCTATTGATATTAAGTTATCGAACCTCCTTCCCCTAGCTCCTGTCGATCTTCCAGGAAGTAAATGCCGAAACCTTACCCACCAACAAAATCTGGATTAAAGATGGCAGATGGCGTAGTTTTCATGCAAGACGATCGTAGAACTGTCGTGCTTACAGGTGATATTCCGGATGCGAATGGGCGAGGATTACCTACTGCAATAATAATGCGACTATATAGTAAGCTACCGGAGGCTGGAAGCAATGACGTCGAGTGATTGACTTGCGTACGTCCCGCTACTGAGAGGCTGGTACGGTTATCCATTGTGATTGTTTGTTTTGATTCCCGCCAGAGGAAACATATAAATACCTGGCTGCCTCGCGTTCTTTCCTCAGCAGCTCTTTGCAGGTAACCTCCACTGACCCATCCTTTTCCACCCAAGTACTGACTCGCATTTCTGCTTCTCTCTAGCTTGCTCTGTCTCGCTCATCGGTGAGTGCACCCATCCTCATCGCCCTTGCTATAGCTGACGTCCTGTTCGTAGCTTGGCGGGAGGATGAGAAGACAACTGATGTTTATCTAGGGTGGAGGCTCCGCGGATTGAGCACGTCGTGTGGAGATGGATGCGGTCCTATTTAACCTCCCCGCCTTTAGGTATCCGCCTGGGGATGGGGCATTAAGCAACCACCTCTCGCCTTTGAGAGTCCACGCTTCGGTTCGTCCACTCTGTGGTGCGTTCCCCGGCGTGGATTGTCAGAGTTGGGGAGGGTGCGCGGGGACGTCGTAGCTCGGGTGGCTTCGTACGCAGTGAGTCGCTCAGTCACTACAGTCCATATCGCCTGCTGACTGCTGCTTCGCATTCCAGGAGGGCGACGTTGTCACCGCCTTCGCGCCATCGTCTATCGTATCCTCAGGATACGAGGCGGCTCCCATGTGCCGGCGCGTACCAGTAGCGGGCGTGTCTTCCGGTCACATTTTGGCCTACAAGTGCATCGCTGTTTGGCCTTACCTTGCTGTGGGGAGGATCATCCGGCGTGTCTGTGGCAGCCAGTGCGAGTTTGCGCGCGAGGGTAGCGTTTGCGTGATATGTAGGGAGGATGTGTAAGTCTTGATATTTTGTGGAAGTCGCGGGATTCTGACGATGAGCAGGGATGTGCTCTTCGCGTTGACCTCCACAGGACCTCAAGTCTCGACTTCGAGGCCTCAAGGCGACGGCCGGAGGGGTGAGAATGCGCGGGGGACCGTTGTCCCCGGTACGTGCTCCATTTGCTGTCATGTAGGCCGCATGCTAACTACACGGTTGTGTGCTTTCCTCATCCTGACGAGCATTTCGCTGGTAGAAGCCAGTGCGGCTTGCGCAAGGGCAGCATTCGTAAGTTCTGGGAAGGGCGAGTGCTTTTTTTTAAATCCTCGTTTAACCTCCATTGTGGCTTCGCCATATGTGCGAGGGTGCGCCTGTACAGTACCAATATCTACACATCACAGGATACACTTCACCTACGGTCCACGGTCACGTAAAATTAGTTGTGATCATCTGTAAAATATCATACGTTGAACATTCATTGACTGCTGCAAAAGGCTGCACTTACCGTGCTCATACTATTTGGCTGCTTCGCCAGGGAACTGTTGGTTGGTAATCGAATATGAAGGCTCCAAGAATGAAAGATCACACGTGAGGGATGGTATTAGGCGGTGGCAAGTGCCTCATTAGTTCCCAACAATAAGCAACAACTTCAATCTAGAACATGTACTACAAACAAGACATGCAGCTATCCAAAAATACACAGGCGTGGAGGTGATACATTGAGCATGACGAACGGATATAAACAGATTACAACACTCAAGCAAGTTCGACGAAATTGGCAGGGAATATGCCTTGTTTTCCACCCGCCTTTCCTGTCCACCTACACGCAACATTGAGGGATAAGTATGCCATGGCAATGGTCAGGGAGGGGTATGGGAGGGCGTACCAATCATCGCTACTATCGCTTTTCTTGGTTACAATGATAATGTCACCTTTGGCAAATGACAGATCCCCGGACTCTACAGCATTAAAATCATACAACGCGATGGCCCTCGCCACGCCCTCCCCAGGTAACAAAGGCCTCATCAGCTCTGGCTTCGGTTGGATGTACGGCTTCGGCGACGTGGTGCTGAAGGCGTCTTGTTCA